GCTATCAGCTAATTTGATCCAAGAGCTTCTAAATTATAAAAAAAAAAACAAGAAGGTGGAGATACTGGAGGCGTGAACTCTAATCTGTATCCTACGGGGTACTAATATCTATACTTCAGAACCTCAGATTCGTCCATCAAAACAAGACCAAAATTCTACTACAAGAACAATTTAACATATGAATGATCATGAGTGCAGGCTAATAAATGGCAGGTGAACCAGTTGATGTGAATGAATTTGAAGAGCTAGCTAGGCAAGTTCTTCCAAAGATATCCTATGACTTCTTTTCTGGAGGAGCTGAGGACCAGCACACACTCAAACAAAATATTGAAGCATTTCATAGAATCATGTAAGTTTGTAATTTCTTGCTCTTGAATTGTCCATGGACAGATATCTATCACTATTAACTAATTTTCAAAAAACTCAGAATCCAGCCAACAATACTTGTTGATGTGAGCAGAATAGACATGTCAACTGTTATACTCAGTCACAAGACGTCAGCTCCTATAATGATTGCCCCAACTATGATGCACAAATTTGCACACCCTGAAGGTTGTACTAAATCAATTACTCAATTCATTTCAATTTGTTTGTCTGATTTTGACTTGACACAACATTTAAGAAGTAAAAGAAGATTTTTGTATCTTATTATCTTAAACTAAAGATATGTAGACTGTACCAATGATCTTATGCTTTTAAACATGTCAGGTGGAAAGATAGACTTAAAGACTTCTCAAAGAAGGAAAGAGGAACCGACCAAAAAGGAAAGTAAGAGAAACAAATTGAAACGGGAAGTATCTCCTTAGTCGCTTATGGTTAACTGATTCTACAAACCTGTTATATTTATGCCAGGAGAAATTGCAACAGCTAGAGGCGCTGCATCATGTAATGTTATCGCGGTAATATTTTCTGAAAAAAAAAGAACAAATTTTATCGAATTCTAGTGTCTGGATGCTAAAATTCTCTTGGATACAGGGATTGTCATTTACGTGCAAGGCTGTTCGCGTCATTCAGAATTTTGTAACATATTATTATTCCCAACTCTCGTTATCTTCATACGTAAATAATGATTTTTCATGTTTTGCAACAGATACAGTTTTATTATTTTTTCTTTGTCAATAGGCTTCCAAGAGAGAGATAACAGAACATATGGTACGTCGTGCTGAGAGTAATGGGTTCAGGGCTATAATTGATACACCTGCTCTTAGTAGAAGGAAGGCTGATATAACAAATAAGTAAGTTGTATATACAATTGTTGTCATTCAAATCTAGCTATGATCCTTTTCATGATTCATCTTCATTCTAATCTGGAAGTAGTTGGTTTAATCATTCAGTACTAAATAAATTTTATAATTTTGGTAATCGTTAATTGATCTACGAAGAGAATTAATGCAGGATGATCGCACCTCAGTTGAAGAACTTTGAAGGTCATCTATCAACTAAAGTTATTTCTGTAAGTAAATATACTAAAAGCAAATATGAGTATTAGACAAACTACATGTTATGCTGAAAGGCAAAACTTGAAATAGCGTACACCGTGCTTACTAATAAAATTCTGCAGGAAAAAGCTTATGCTGCAGAAACTCTTGATCGTTCGTTTTGTTGGAAGGTACATGATTTGAAAGTTAAATATATGCGTTGCGTTCCTTAATATCACATGATATGATGAAATTTGTAGGAAATAGCATGGTTAAAGTCAGCTACCAAGTCTGTTAAAAGGCATTCTAACCAGTGAAGATGGTATAATATTTATCATAAACCTTAGCTAAAGTCCATATCTCATCTCTAAATTCCATATATGTGTTTTGATGGTAAACTTGCAGCAATAAAAGCAATTGAAGCCGGAGTTGCAGGAATTATCGTCTCTAACCATGGAGCTCGGCAGCTAGATTACACTCCAACTACTTTTTCTGTTCTTGAAGAGGTGATTCCCTTAAACTTCAGATCTGAAATGCAAGCTCATTTTGAAATTCTTTTCAATTGAAAGTTGAAATTTGTTATTTTTTGAATCTTAGAAATTTGAGAATTATTAAATTGAAATCTCCTAAATTAGGTGGTCCATGTAGTTCAAGGTAAAGTTCAGTTTTTATTGAGGGAGGAATTAGACGAGGAACAGACATATTCAAGGCTCTAGCACTCGGCGCAAAAGCTGTTTTGGTAAACTTAACGATATAAAGAAATGAATTTTAAGTTCTGTACACTGATAATTTTTGTGCAGATTGGTCGACCGGTTATCTATGGTCTGGCCGCTAAGGGTAAAACAAGTTATTCAAATGCTCAAGAATGAATTGGAACAGACTATGGCTGCTGCACTGTGGCTGACATCACTAGAAATTATGTTAACACAGAGAAAGAAAGGTTGCTAGGTAGGATGTAGTTTAATCATCTCTTCCTTTATAAATAAATTAGTATTTAGACACACATGTTTATAAATATTTTTAAAAATTGCATCAATATATAATAAATATATTCAAAAATCAATGACATTCAATATCTAAAGTGTAATTTTGAAGATTCTTTATTAGTACTAAATTGATTTTAATTTTAGTTTATGAGTTAAAATTTGATATGAATTTGTCAAATTTTAATAGTTTGTATATATTATGTTTTGATTAAAAAATAATTAAGTTAATTAAATTCATAGATTACAAACTTAATACACTCATATCATCAATTAAACCCTTGTCCTACCACCACAATCAATATTACATTTCTAAACAAACTTCATTTGATATGACTCATCGCAATTATAATATATTTTTGTTAGAAAAGGAATTTAACATTTCTTTTATATTTTGTGGAATTGTATTATTAAAATTGTACTTGAAAAATAAAAAAATATGATAAAAATAATATCATGACATTTGAGTGATGAATGATATAAATTCTGAATGAGAAAGGGAGGAATAAACTATGGATCAAATAATTAAAATAATCAACTAAAATTAAAGCAAAGAAAGTTAATATAATTTCATGAGTAAAATAACCAAAATATGATATTGTATTCATTCCTTTTTTTCTTAACATGGGTTGTTATCCTCCCTTCTTTTTTTTGGATGAAAACTCCATTAAAAAAAAATTAAATTCAAACAAAGAAAGTGAAACTGAATAGGAAGTGAATATTACATCACTCAACATGCCAAAGCTCATAAATGCATTTTTTACTTTTATTGGGTTATGATGATTGTTATCAAAATTCAATACTTAATTAGCTTTATACACAAATAACTCACATGAATCTGCATATGAAAATTCAAAAAATTTGACCTATTATTGACAAAATATAATAATAATAATAGAAAAAAAAAAGACAAAGAATTATGCTAACAAAAAAATCATGTCAGAACGAAAAGTGACTTACCCCATTTGTATTGGCAAAACTCAAAGTACAGTTCTATGCGATCGACACTGAAGCATCTCATCAATTGATTTTTCCTATAACAAAAAAAATCATCTCATAAGCTATTGACACAAAATTATAAATTTTATTTTTCTGCAGATATTAAAATCTTAAACATCAGTCAAACATCATAAACTATATTATAAGTAAGAAGTAAGAAACAAAATAAAAAATAACTTAAAATAACATGCACAATGCAGATCCAAAAGAAAAACGTTTCAATGCTCTCTATCAAACTCATAACAAAATAGAATGTAAAAAGCAAGAAGAAATACATATATGAAATGAAAAGACAAGGATCATAGTGGGAATGTAAAGAGACAACAGTTTTTTTAGAAGATTATTAATGAATAGCTATCTTTTTAATGTATCTATTACTTATAATAATATATAAATAAATAAATGACCTCGTCAAAAAATTATATCGTGTATACTGAAAAAATATACTTAAATGCATATGTCAAAGAATACATTTTATTTAAGTGAAATTTATGACTTAACTGTTATTGCACAAGACACTTCATGTTGGGTTCGAAAAAATTTAGGACAATTTACAAATACAAATCATGGAGACGATAAATCGACATATAAAACTATACTACAAATATAATATTATTATATTGAAATCTTCCCAACAGACAAAAAAAAAAGTTAACGATTGCATAGTGAATGCTGAGACACCTTCAATTTATAGAATTTTAAATATTTTTGTGAAAATGAAAATAATTAAATATGAAATAAAATTATATTTTCCTTTTGAAAAATAAAAATAATTTTGATATCATTTTAATTTTTCTTTTGAAAAAAGTAAAACTTAATTAAACTATGAAAATAAAGATAGAATTTTAACATCTTATACCTAGAAATGTGAACTTTCTAGATTCTGAACCAACCTATCCTACTGGTGAGTCGGTGGTAAAAAAGAACAACTATACACGCAAAAAGAATTGAAAAATATGCATATTTATTAAATTCAATATACGCTAGTAAAAGTCACGCCAAAAAATTAGATGTAATCATTTTACACATAATCGTATTTTGATTACTCTATTACATATTATCACTCCATTATTCATTAGTCACATTAGATTGATATAGTTTGATTTTCTCGTAAATTTTCTTTTAAAATCACAGTTAACTCATGGATTCAGATGATGTTTAGATCAGTTCACACTACATTCACTAATTTCAAGTCCACTAGATTTGAATTTAAATGTAAAATTTCATATTTCTCATACTAGGTCACACTTGGATTTTCTGTATCTAAAAATTTGAAGATCAAGACGAGAATTACTCCACTCATGTTACTTTTTTTTTTTTTATTTTAACTTGAATTGAAATTTGAGAAAGAAAATTTTAAACTTTTTTACTAATTAAAAATATGTAAAATACGTTACAAAGATTTCTAAATATGTCATAAACAAAGTAAATATTAAATAATTAATAATGTTTTATATTTAAAATAAATGAAAAAGGGAAGTAAAAACTAAAAGTGTCCGGCAATACATGATTCCAAGCTATAGATTAGAATATTGGTAAACAATTAACAAGCTGTATTAAGGAAAAAAACAATTTACCTTGTTGTTAGTTTAGTTTAATTGCCACTTCGTAATTCTCTTTGTCTGTACCTTAATTTATTATTAGGTGAAAAAACCTCCGAGTATTAAAATTTATTATGCAAAGCAACTTTGGTAAGTTCAACGACCACGAAGAAGAGAGGGAGCGGAAACACTTCTTTGTACTTTGCAGGTACTCTGAAAAATCCTCTTTTTTATTCTTTATTTCTAATTTCTGAAGCTTTCTTCAATGATTTGATCCCTTTTCACATGATGTAAAGTTTGAATTTGAATTGTAAAATGCTCTTACCTCCTTCATTTTGGATTTATCTTCCTTGTTATAAAGGATTTGTTCTACATCTAAACAAACTTGAGTGATTAATTTGTTACTCCTTTCAATTTGTTTGTGACTTAGTATGGAGTTTAAGAAATTAAATACGATATGAGTTAGTTGACTTGCCAAGAAGCTTTATAAAAACTTTTGTGTATAAAAGTGATATTTGATTAAGGCTAAATTGTCAGTGAATAGAGAAATGTGTCCCTTTTTTTGGACAGACTAAAAAAGAAAGTAAGTCGTATAAAATGGAATAGAGGGAGTACAACCTTTTGATCTATGATGTTAAATGTGGTATGCGAAGTTGGGAACTAATGATTGAGACAAATAAAGTGAAATGAAGGGAGTACATTTTTAGATCAATGTATATGAAAACTCTGACCTCATCAATAAGTAATAGTTAACTAAAAGCTGGTTATTTTAGGACGGGAAGGTTGACATTTTTCTGAGTCTCTTGATTCGTAGTAGTTGTATGAGAAGGGGCGGAGCTAGAGTTCTAATTACAGGTTTGGTAGGACCGGTAGCTTTAGTATTTAACTTAAGAAATTCAACTAGTATGCAAAAACTTTTAAAATTCAGAATCCATAAATGCAATATCTGGATCCACCTCTAAGTATAAGACCCTGTTTTGAACTTGAATAGACACACAAGATGAAAGTTCTACAATGCAAAAAAATGCAATATGCGAGTGCTCGTGTTTTGCAGGTGCAAGTTAAATGGCAGGGGAACCAGTTAATGTGAATGAATTCCAAGAGCTTGCTAGGCAAGCCCTTCCGAAGATGTATTACGACTACTATACTGGAGGAGCTGAGGATCAGCACACCCTTAAAGAAAATGTAGAAGCATTTAGTAGAATCATGTAAGTTTGAAATTTCTCGCTGTTGATTTAGCCACAAACATATATCTATCACTAACTTCTTAAAAACTCAGTATTCGGCCTAGAATACTTGTTGACGTGAGCAAGATAGATATGTCAACTACTATTCTAGGTCACAAGACGTCAGCCCCTATTATGATTGCCCCAACGGCCATGCATAAATTGGCACATCATGAAGGTTTGTATTAAATCAATTAGCGCCCTAGTCACTTAGCTGAAAATACAATGTAGCTCTGATTCTATCAAACCGAGATGTATTTATGCCAGGAGAAGTTGCAACAGCGAGAGGAGCTGCAGCATGTGATATTATTATGGTACTCCCTCCATGTTTGTCTTGCTCTCCCTTTGTCCATTTCAAAAAAAATACATCTACAAGATTAAAGGACATTTTAGTAAATTCTACATATCTTTAGTGTAAGACTACACCATTCAAGAGTCTTCTCTATTTTCTTAAACTTCGTGCCAAGTCAAAACCAGTCAAACAAATTAGAAAGGAGGGAGTAATATTTTTCCAAAGAGGATCAATTTCCAATTCTGGCGTGTGGATGCTGAGTTCTCTTGGTTATAGGGACTGTCGTACATGTCAACCTGCACAGTGGAGGAGATTGCTTCCAGCTGCAATGCTGTTCGCTTTTTCCAAATATACGTAAAATTTCTTTCTTAACTATCATGATCTCCATGTATGTTTACTGGTTTTCTAATGTATTGAAACGGAATGTTACATTTCATCTGTCAATAGGTTTACAAAAGAAGGGATATAACAGCACTTATGGTACATAGAGCTGAGAAGAATGGATTTGGAGCTATTATTCTTACAGCTGATACTCCGAGGCTTGGTAGAAGGGAGGCAGATATAAAGAATAAGTAAGCTATATATCCTTTTGATGTCATTCAAGGCTAGCTATAATCCTTTGTGCCGTTGTTCTTCAATCTTATCTGGTGCTGATCAAGAAAGAAAAGAGTCACAATTGCAGGATGATTGCACCTCAGTTGAAGAACTTCGAAGGTCTTATATCAACTGAATATGTTTCTGTAAGTACAACCATAAATTCTGGCTTTACAGACAAATCATTTATTAAACTGAAAGAGGAGAATTTGGAACTCTCTTAGGAAACAAAATTTATTCTCTGACTAAATGTCCATAATTTGCTGTTTTTTCCTACTAAATCTGGTGTTCTTGCTGAATGATTCATTCCTTTCATCCTTCCATTTGTTCGGGGTGGGTGTTGACGCTTGGATTAGCTTCAAAAATTGCCATGCCAGAATACATGCTATCAGTTTGTCTATGAAGTAGAATGTATAAAGTAGTACTTCTTGTGCTTCCCAGTAGGTAGAACCTAAGTTTCCATCAATGGGAGTACAGCTTTGACTTGTAAATTAACTGATCTCTTCACCAGTTGTTAACTTGCTATTAAGCACGACTTTGACAAAAGATACTTCTGCGTATTACAATGTATTTGGTTACGACTGACACAGGCTTTTCCTTAAACATTGCTTCTCTTTTTCCCCCCTTTTTTCTCGTTTGAACGATAACATCTTCATCAGTAAGATATTTGTCTAGAGAAGTTGCTCTATTTGACTGCACTGGTGTGCTACTTCAATTTGTTGAATATGTTGCACAACGTTTCTGTTTTCATCTATGTGCTGCTACTTTATATGCTTTCACGTTCTTATTCATTAATTTGATGTGCAGAACATCATAAATCTATCAACTTGAAAATGGTGTAGTTCATGCTTACTGATCGATCTACTATTAAAACTCTACAGGACAAGGGCTCAAATATTGAAGCCTTAGCAGCAGTAACTTTTGATGCTTCTCTTTGTTGGAAGGTACAAAGTTTAAAGTTTATTCATGTTTTTTCTTAATACCACATGAGAACACAGGATGATATTATATCATTGATATACTGTATACACTCTTGGTCCTAGAACAAACATTTTGGTTGAGGATGTCAACGTATGTCAAAATAAGTAAATTGTTGAGCTACAAAGTATATGTAGAAGAATAAGATTCTCATATTTTTTTCCAGAACTTCAAATATGGTCAACTGCATTCCTTTTTTGAACCTTTTATATCCAAAAACTTTGCAGGATATAGAGTGGTTAAAATCAATTACCAAGTTGCCAATTCTGATTAAGGGCGTTCTGACTTCTGAAGATGGTATCTATTACTGAACCCTCGATGTCTGCATAGTTTACTTTTGTGCACTGATTATGTATATACGAGCATGTACAAAGCAAATGGCCATGAAAGCTGAAGGTTGATATTTAGTCTTAAATCGTACGTAGGGAAATTCAGAAGGGAGCTGGTTAATGCAAAAATCTGATAGTAACTGCAGTCAAGTAAGGAAAATAGGTACAAGCAAACATCATGAAGAACATAGTCACAATTTCTTTAGGAAGAAATTCTTATGAATATGAATTCTAAGTAGTTAAGCTAGACAAAAAAGAGGTTTCTTCCAGAATACTTGCCATCATCCTCCAAAATAAACTGTCCTTTTTTTTCAGTCAACTTTTGTTTTTCTAAGACATAGGAGGGTGGTAGAGGTGGATCTTAAGCTTCTTACAACAATCCAAATTCTCCTAACTTAAGGGTCTCACTGATTACCTTTTTAGTACATGCTAGGGGTCTTTTTAATCTTGTTAGCTATTTGTATGTCAATAGGATATACAGAGAACTCTTAGTGATAGAGATTACTGATATTGGAATGGGATCGGTTCAAATTGAGCAAAACTGATAGTGAGATGCATATAGCTGACTCTGATTAACTTGTGATTGTGGCGTTGTTGTTGTTCTCACTAATTGATCATCTATTCTAAAAACTTGGCATATGCTTCTGTTTTGCAGCAATAAAAGCGATTGAAGCAGGAGTTGCAGGAATCATTGTCTCTAACCATGGAGCTCGGCAACTAGATTATGCTCCAGCTACTATATCTGTTCTTGAAGAGGTTATTCCCTATGTTGCTGATATGTTTAATGTGGTCTCTCATAGAATGTAGATAAATTCAATGGATTAGCTTCTTAGACTTTTTTAACAGTAATGTTAGGCATAGCACAAAAGTTTGTCAGTACAGAACTCTCAATTTTTGTTTACAAAAAATTAAACCACAGATACAACATACCTTGGAGGAAATATGTAAATTCAACTTCCTGCCATGTTTGAGTTACTCAGCAAGATCAATTGGGTACTTAGACCTTACATCAAGCTAGTTATTGGAGTCAACTATGTGTTTCGCATTCATAAATATTTGATTAGACATAGAAACAAATCTTTTTGCATGTGTATTATATCCACATATCTCAATGGTTTCACCATTTCAGGTTGTCCATGCTGTTCAAGGTAAAGTTCCAGTATTTTTCGATGGAGGAGTGAGGCGAGGAACAGACATATTCAAGGCCTTAGCTCTTGGTGCAAAAGCTGTTCTGGTGAACTTATTTGAAAATTTTTACTTCAACTTCTAAGCTTTACGTTGTTCCTACCAGGGATTTGGCCTTCTGTTGAGTAAAATGTATTCCTGCAGATTGGTCGAGCAGTTATTTATGGCCTGGCAGCTAAGGGAGAGGTGGGGGTAAAGCAGGTTATTCAAATGCTCAGGGATGAATTGGAGTTAACAATGGCCCTTTCTGGCTGCTGCAGTGTCGAAGACATAACAAGAAACCATGTGATAACAGAGAAAGAAAGGTTCATTTGTAGGATGTAGTTTCATCCTGAAAGCAGCTAAAAGTATATACAGGACCGGCTACAATTCTACTATTGTGTTAAAAAATAATAAGCAAATGAAGATAGTGTCACATTCCTTGTTCCTACTTGTTTTGCGACTCTGCTCGAATGCTGAAAACTATGAAAATCCATCAAAGTTTCGGCAGTAGAAACGTTAACCTCAACACACTTGAACAAAATAATTATTTGAATAAAGTACAAAAATGATGGAAAAAATCATTTGAAGTTTTGTAACTCTGGAAATGTGATGCTACTGCTGCATGAAGAAAATATGAACAAGAAACATTGGAATAAACATAAAACTCGCAGTATACACTCACCTTACGAAATCAAAGACATAAAATGTTCACCTCATAATATTCTTACATGTGAGTACCGCATACCAAGCCTTGATTTCGAGAACAGAATACAAGAAAATCTAGACATTTATAAAAACTCATCTAGTCTAAACGAAAGGCAACGAAATGTCAAGCCATATTTCTGCACATTACTGGTAATACATGAGCTGCTGAGCAGCAAGATTCTGGAAACCACCATCATATATAGCCTGGCTTGCTCCAGAAGCACTCATTCCCATTGATGCTTGCTTCAGGGGATGTTGACCCTGAGATTGCATGAGGGCATGAACACCAGCCATCTTACTCATAGCTAGCTGCCGTTCATAAGTCAAAAGATCAGTGGCAGTAAGGCCTAATGGCGCTGCAGCTGGTGGTGGAAGAGGATTTGAGGCTGTTCCAGGTGGTGTTGGTTTGTTACCCCAAGAACACTGGAAATACACATGAGAAAATTGAGCTTAAATGTTTTGATAAAATAGAATTGATTAAAACACACACCTAAAGTTGAGATACAACTACATATTGTCTTGATAAGTATCATTCTACAATTTTATAAAGAAGCTAACATAATCCAATACAGCATGAACTTCAAAACAAGTGTAATACTGGAAAAAGCTGCAGGTAGAATGATGTTACCTTAATCTGTCTCCCACACAAAATTGATTGGGCATTTCCCATTTGAATTGCCAAAGCTGCCTCATCATGGGTGCTGTATCTTACAAAACCAAATCCTTTATCACGTTGAACCCGAACTTCCTCTATCACTCCTGCACCAATGACATAAAAGTGGCGATGGAGATCGAGTTGTGTCGCCTGAAACAAATGAAAATAATAGGACTAAGTTTTATCAAAGCACAATGAACATCTGTCCAAGGGCTAGGGCAAAGGCACCCTTATGGTTTACTCCTAAAGGTCTCACAACACCATTTAACATTCTCCTTACAGGCAGAATTCAGAAAGACTATCTTACCTCAGGAGCAAGATTACCCACATAAACAGTTGTATATTGCGGGTTGTTTTCAGGAGCATCACTACTTGCTGGATCTTTACCATCTTCTGCAACAAAGAAGAGACATCAATTAAGAAGGCCAGAATCAATATCAGAAAATTAAACCCATTGAATCCAGCCACCTTCCAGACAAAAACCGAACACTTGCATGTTCTGGATAATTCTCTTTATCAAATTTAAGGACTAGTCATTCGAAAACTGTACACACCTGATGATCCATTAGTTAATTCCACGACACTTCTGATTTCTGAGCCTTGCTCATCATTAGAATTAGCTCCTTTTGTAGCCCAGTTACAACGTATCTGTCTACTACCAAGCCATTTCCCTGATATCATAACACAAGCAATCAGCTTTTGGGGAGGAACATCTGTGATGCAAGAGGTAAAACAAAATCTTCTGGTTCTGAATTGCTTTGAAATAATCCAACAAGTGCATCAATCAGTAATAAATTAACAGAATGCAGAAAACTTTTATGGCGACTTACCAGTTAAATCATTAATTGCACTTTGGGCATCCTGGATAAGAACAACAAAGATTAAATGGGAACAAAGTCATGCATTATCCAAAAGACAATATAAACTAAATGTAGATAAAAGGATACCTGTTGGTTCCGGAAAGAAACAAATCCAAAACCCCTAGAACGCCCAGTCTGCTGATCCCACATTACCCTAGCATCACTATCAATTGGAATGGATATAATTAGCCACTGGATGTACACATTTAAGTAAACTATCATCTTTTGTGTTGGTGTGTCTTGACACGTTCTAGAGTAAATATATTGACCACGCCGAGCGCCTTCTGAGGGAGGCATCACGGAGGAAAAGGTACTTACGAGCAACTAGGGTAAACAGAGAAGCAAGCAAACAACATGGCATCAGTAACTTCTGGGCTCAGATCACCAACAAATACATTGAAGTGACCTACCAAAAAAAAATTAGTACACAAATTTACACACTCCAACGCAACATAATGAACTAAAAGCGAAGTCACAAATTGCATTATACTAAAACAGGAACTGAACGCACTTGAAGTATCCTCCCTCTGTCCACTGGCATATGCCCAGTTAACTTTAATAGGCTGCCCAAACCTGAAAACAAACAGCATGAACCTTGGTAAAAAGGAAAAAGGCCTAAAGCAAAACACAGCTAACAAAAGCCTACTTACAGGTGCCTTCCATTTTGAGTAACTATAGCAAGTTCAGCAGACCTACGGTCATAATAATGAACAAAGCCATAAGATGACTGCACGAGACAAAGCAAAATCAGTTTTAAAGTCATATAATAGAAAAATGCCTAGACAAGACAAGGAAAAGAAAAATGCCTAGATAAGACAAGGAGAAGAAAGGGAAAACATCAACAAAACATATTAAACAGTAACGACAGAAAATGCTGTCAAGTTGCACAAGGATGAAAGATGTACCTTGTCCTTCCTTACAAGTTTGCACCCTTCAACCAGACCAGTACATGAAAAAAGTTCATGAAGAAGAGTTTCAGACACCTGGGGGTGAATATTCCCAATATACCTGCATTTTCTCAAAAATGAAAAAACTAGAACTTTCAAAAGAGGTAAAAAAGAACAAAGGAAAATCATCGTATCTATAAGAACCTCCTCCAGTATCTAAATCACAACAGCAAGAGCATTAGCTGGTATGTAAAATTCAAGGCATACCAGTATAAACTAGAAGGCAAACAATCAATAGTAAAAAATAACACACTCACACGCTGCGGCATGTACTTGGATCAAACCCAGGAGGTAGATTTCCACTTGGTATCTGCATCAAAGTACGTACAAATAAAATAGAGGAAAGTAATATAAATACCATACAAACTACATATCAGAAACCCCAGGAAATATAACTTTCAAGTAAAAGATACTGTATCTTTTCGTCATTTTTTGTTGATAGTTACCCATACACAGCACTACCCACACAAACCCCCCCCCCCCCTACTTTCCTTTTATTAACTTCATTCTTGAAGAGAAAAGGTTAATAGTTGTTTGGTAAAAGTCAATTCAGAGCAACTCATGACACACTCTAATGAATTCAGATAATACCCCTATTAACATAAGATCTATTTATATGCTTCATACGTCACTAATAAGACACTTCGGCAAAAGAGGATAGTTCCCCAACTCAAAAATATCTCCTAGAATTACACTATATGAAACTCCAACATGAAAAAAATTTCAGAAGCAAGGAAATGAATAGATTCTGTACCCCAAGAAGCTAGGTTTAAAATCCAGGCAATCTACTTATTAAAAAAATAAAATTAAATACTGAGGACAACCCATAATTGTAAGAGTTATCTTATATACTTCACACTTCACTAACAAGACACTTCGATAAAGGAGGATAGCACCCCAACTCAAATTACACTACAAACCACTCCTAAGTGAAAACAATATCAGAACCAATGAAATGCATAAATTTTATACCCTAAAGAAGCTATTTTGAAATAAAGGCAACCTACTTATAGGAAAGAAAAAGAAGAAATGATGACAGCCAATATTCATAAAGGTGGAAAAAATTAAGGATATGCATAAACTAATGGGTTATATAAATGACTACAGGTGATAAATTAAGTCATATAAATGTATAGGGCCTGACTTAACGCCTTTTCACATTTACAGTCCAATTTTCTACCTTTGCCCATAGCATTGAAGATGCATACACAAAAGAAGCTAGCAACTTTGGTGGCTACTATAGATGTGGGTGGCAACAGTTAATTACAAAAATAACCCCATGAATGGAGATGGGTGATGTGGAACGCAGTTCAAGCAGAGATTATTAGTGTGTGGAAGCAAAGTCACAAAAAAAGAACAGGAAAACACTCGTAAAGTGTTGGGTACTCTTAATGATATGTGAGGTAATTTGGGGGGGAAAGCATAGGAATTTGTCCCAAAGCCAACAATACTACACCAAGTTAAAAGTATCTTTAAAGTTGTTTCAGCAATACACATTATACAACCAAACCCTAAGTGTCTATCATGCCAAACAACACCACAATTTTATGGAAAGAAAAAGGGTCCACATCGAGATCATTTTTGAAAAGTTAATACAATGTACTACACCACAAGAAGTATCAAATATCATTTGAAAGCAAATATCCATTAATCTGACAGAAACAAAACCTAGAGAGCTAATCTGACAGAAACAAAACCTAGAGAGCTAGAACAACCAACCTAAAGTAAAATGAAACAGAAATAAATCAACCGAAAATATAAGACAAAGTGGAAAATTCAACCTAACCGAATACAAACCTGAGGAGCAGCTATAAGGCCAGGGTGATAGAGTGACTGTTGTTGAAGAAGAGCTTGCTGCATCAAGGCTTGTTGTTGTTCTTGTTTTAGCCTATGATTCAGCATTTTCTCAACTACTACTCCGAGATCGGAGAAATAATTACCGGCGTGATTGGATTTCCTGTGTCCTCGCGGTGATATAGAAGAAGGTCTCCGAGAAGAAGAAGAAAAAAAAAAGAAAAAAAAGAAAAAAGAAAAAAAAATGAAAGGAAAAAACAGAAATAAAAGACATATCAGGATGTAGTAGAGTTATTTATAGCGGAGCAGGACTACCAGTACCGACCCGGTTCCTGTTTTGGGTTCTTTTGTCATGGGCCTTCTGTAATGAGAACTGAAATGAGTTGTCCAGGTTTGGGCCGAACTTGTTTAGGCCCAAACGAATTGAATCCATTTCATATTTGGAGGTGTATTTTTCAAGAATTAAGCATTCGGCCATGAAACTCTCTTTAAAAAAAACTTTATTTGAAAGGAAAATTATGCGGTTAAGCAAATTTATACTATTTAATTACTCATTATAGCTATAATTATCACTCGCAACTAACATTATACATTAATTACGTGGGCTCACTTCGAGTTTGTATAATTAGACACGCTTATATGTGTATAATTCGCCAGAATATACAAATACATATGTATAATATTCAATTATCTAACCTATATACATATACAATTCACCACTCTCCCACCCTCTTCCCTCTCTCGCTCGCCTCTCTCCTCCCTCTCCCAATCTCGCTTTCCACATATACAAATGCATATGTATGATATACAATTATATACATATATAATTCACCTCTCTCCCACTCTCTTCCCTCTCTCCCTCACCTCTCTCCTTCATCTCCCATATCGATCGCCTCTCTCCTCCCTCTCCCATGATTGCTCGCTTCTCTCCTCCCTCTCTCAATCTCATTTGTCATATATACAAATACATATATATAATATATAATTATCTAACCGATATACATATACAATTTACCCTTTCTCCTACTCTTCCCCCCTCTCTCTCCTCTCTCCTCTCTCTCCCAGTCTCGCTCGCCTCTCTCCATCATATAACATGTAGCTACGAATTATAATTATCAAATTATAGCTATAGAGAGTAATTAGGTTATATTTAAGTGCTTATACGTGAAAGTTTCCCTTACTTGAAATTTTTAAAGTTTGAGTTGGGGTTGTGTTTGTTCCTATTTTTTGTAATATATATCTAAAATTAAAAAAAAATTAAAAAAAAAGACACAACATATATAATATAAATAGGGTTATTTTATAAAAATAAAAATTCATGGTTAATTTTTAAAATAAAATTAAGTGAAAACAGCATTGTGGATGTTTTCTAAATTCCAAAAAGTTGTTCTTGCAGTTGATGGTCAAACACTGATTTGAGATAAAGTAAAAAGAAAATGAAAAACTCTCATGGTCATGCGGTTCCTATGAAAATATGTTCTTATATTTTTATTTCTCGTTTTAGAGTCATTTCATTCAGGGGAGGAAAATAGTCATACTTTACTTTACCTATCTTAATTCTTTTTGTGTTTGGTGAAATCCTCATATATATTTTTTCCCAGCTTTGGCTATTATTAAATTATATCAATCTCAGAAGAAAGCGATGTCAATATAAATAATTATTCAAAGTACTTATTGAAAACTTAACGATAGTTATGGGTTTCTATTTATATAGAAACAATCCTCTCTATGTGATGCATTGACCTCATTAATCAGTTATGTAATGGGCATTAAAGAAATTTATCTCTATTCATTTTTCTAAGATTTGGTTAGATATTTATATTATTTACATGATGTGATAGCCAGATTTTGGTTTAATCGTTTGTACATCACTATTTGGTGAAGTTGCTCGGAAGCTCTCTCACGAATTATTAAACCTAATCTACCAATCTCTACTTTAGGAGGAGGTGGGGATCCACGGAGAAAAATGGAAATTTCTTTCATGTACAAATCCGATAATGCCAACATCCTATCTATGACAAGGCCGAAGTCATGATAACATCTTGTGTGATAGATTTTGTCCAAAAAAAATAAAGTTGAGCTTCAATCTTATTTCCAAGTTCATATTGCAAGGAAGAATGAAATCAAATCACTCGTTTGATAAATTTTTTCTTAGTTTCACATGTGGTCAGGTCTACCTATGGAGTTGGTTTATGTTTCTTTCGTTTAGTACCAAAGGTTTACGAGTAAAGAAATTCGTATTCCATGCTCACAAAAGTCAAAACAGTCATCAATTTTGCAGTTGCCCCCAAGTTTCTTTCACAAAATGTTCTTCTTTTTCGTTTTCCAACCAACTTATTTAGATACACACTTAGAAGTCTTACCTTGTGAGTAAAGGTCTCCCTACCAAAAGGACTAATCTAAAATCTTGAATAAACGATGAAAGAGTGTATTTACTAATTCAATACTAATTGTTCTTTTCCTCAAAAAGGTTAGTATTACTACCGTAATTAACACTAACAAGATTCACAGAGAACTTCACATCTTCATGAAGGCGAAACGTGAAAAATGGGAAACCAAAGATTAATTACACATTCTATTTTAACAACCAAAAAAGTCATAATATTCAGTTGGTAATAATAAACGATATCTAATACAAGAAATATAATCTGTAAGCTAAGCTGAGCTGGAAAAATAATCTTCAAATCACTGATCTAAATATATATTAATACTACTAGCTCATGCAGTGGTGGTCAACCAAAAAAAAGCTTATGGAATTCCAACTGCGAGAGTGGAGTTCTGGCTATAACTTGAAATTGAGATCGAGCTGATCTTCGCTATCCTTAGAAGATGATTCACCATTAGTATTCGAAGAAGATGGTAACAACGGATTGTTACGTACAACTTGGTATGGAGCTCTAACAGTTGCCCTGAATAAGACAGAAAAAGAAGTGAGATTCTTTTACACTAAACAAACCTCAAAAGTTGTTTGGAAAAAGTTTTGGTATAAACACAAATTTAAATTCCGCTTACCTATCTTTCCTCTTCTCGAGAAACCTATGAAGTGAAGATCTTCTTGCGATAGGTAGCTCTGAGAAACCAAAGATATAATGCATATTAGAACCGATCTGTGAAAATTTTATCATGCAACATGAGTAAGTAGTACTCGCTTTATTTCATTTTATATCCTATTCTTTTTAGTCCGTTTAAGAAAAAATATGTTTTATATTGGAAACTCTTTTAACATAACGTAGTTGTTTATACATCATGACAGTTTAAGACCACTTGTTTGAAGAGTATTAAAGTAGACCCCAAACGTCTGTCTACCTTTCATATATTTTGTGTGTAGTCAAATACTGCTATATAAAATGAAAAAGAAGGATGTAATTTGCTCACCGGAGCTGCTGCTAATTTCGGCAGCCTGTGACTGGATTTGCTTGTGTTGCTCCTGCTCTACTAAGGGTGCAGATGAAACTGATCCGAGCTTAAGCTGATCAGTTTTAGTACTACTACAAACATGGAGTGGGGGCGAATTGTGCTTGTGCTGTTGCGGTGCAGCAGAGCAAGAGTCTGGCTTAATCTGGAGGTGTTGTTGCTGTGGTGCAACAGAATCAGTTCTATTACTTGTCAAAGAAGCAGGGGCAGGAGAACATGTGTTAATTTTGTCGATGTTTATAGCCTGGAAAGTCCCAAATGAACTCTGAGGACATCCTTTACTAGCCAATAACATCACTGCTCTAGCTTTGTCAGCAGGGAAATCATCAAAAACAATCACTTTACCATCATAGAACATAGTCAATTGGGCTGCCTTAGGCTCCTTTGGTGCCTCTTTGCTGAAAAAGGAAATCAAACATAAATCAGCATGTGAAATTAGTAACTTAGGTGAACGTTCATGTAACCAATAAACTGAGCTAGGGAGATGCGAACTTCATAATAGACTAAAAAGTAAAAGGGGTAAGAGTTTCAACTTTCAACTTCTACCGACAATCATAATTCTTTTTCATATTAATCGTTCATAGCAAGTGTAATTATAACTTGAATTACTAGCTAAAACAGGTTAAAATACACAGAGGGACGAACCTTGTGCTGGGCTCATTTACAGCGGCCTCCTTCTCTCTAGAAGACTCTGTTGTAACAAGATCTACGGATTTGTGTTCTTCTTTTGTTAGATCAATAGATGGTTTTTCCATGACTGTTAATAAATCCATAGTTGCAGTTTCAGTTTTCCCTGGAAGAGAAAGCACAGCACAGTTGAGAAACTATAGAAAACTTAGCAGCAGCTTCTTCTTCTAAAACTTGTTTTATTCTATTTTCTCCAATTAAAAATTACCAGATTAAGATAGTTACAGCCAACAAATCTTCCTCGAATCACAACTCCCCAAAATATAATATTCAATTCACATATTTCCAAATTCAGTTTACAATATCAACAAAAAATAAAACTCTATGTACGGAATTCCATTAATTAACTAGATCTCTTAGAAATACTATTAATTGAAAATAAAAAATACCTGCAGCTTCCGGCTGACCGGCGATTCCGAGATTCAGATCTCTAATAGTAGCTTTCCCTTTAATAAACTGACTCAACAAGTTACAAGTCTGTACGAAACTTGATCTCTCCGGCGCCTTGCCGTTTCCATTCCTCCGGCGAGCGTCACATAAATTCGACATATCTGCCGATGAGAAAAAAAATCCAAAATTGATAGAAACAGAAATTAAGGATTGTGACAATTTTAGGGTAGCTAGAGAAGTTATGTAGTAGTGAAGAAGAAAAAGGAAGCAAGTGGAAGGAACATGTGAATGTTATGGTAGAGAATAGAGATGATAAGATGGGGTAGATAAAGGAAATTACTATACTCAGCTTTTTGGTGTCTTACAAAATGACATCGCCATCGATTCATGCTGGATTAGACTTTGTTACACAATTTTGAATTAAACACGTTTTAATTGTTTCAAAAAAATAAATAATAAAATAATTATTACTGTAGAGAGACGAAAAATTCAAATGTAGTAGTCGGCAACTGCGGCTACAGAGAAAACGTGCTTTAAAACTTGAGTGGATTCTAGACAACTAACTACAATTTATTATCATCAGTCCTTATGCTTCTCATATTTACCACATTGACCCCTTTCTGAATAACAATAATTACAATTTAGCCTTTGAGTAACACACTTATTAAAAATTGTTTTTCCAAAGTATTTTTGGATATTTGGCCAAGTCATTTAAAACTGTAACTTTAACTGTTTGAGTACGTTGATAAGCATATAATAATCTTTTTAAGCATGTCAAATTACAAAAAGCACAATATCAATGCATATTTATTATCAATAATAAATATTATTTAAAGCACAACAAGAATATTTTGTCACGTCCAAACTCGAGCGAGATGAGGCGATATAGCTATAGTATCATAACATGATGGAGGAGATCAATTTTGTTTGACACATAATACACTAAGTTTCATTAAATTAATATTGATTGATCATAAAATATTATAGAGATATTATTTAATCGATAAATTAATAGTTATTAATTTAAACCGTATTTGAGATGCAATGAAAGTTAATTCTAATAGCATCAAAATCATTATGTCTTATAAATTTATTTATTAGATTTATTAATTCACATAAAAAAAATTATTCAATCATAAAGTACAATCAAAATATTAAAATAATTATATTTTACTAAACTATGTATCATATTATTAAATTCACGTAAAAGATAAATTTATTGTACATTAAATACAAATGTACAATGTATATGAATTACTCATATACGTGTATATATATATATATATATATATATATATATATATATATATATATATTTTACATATTCATTATAAAATAGATTCAAGAATTCATTGCAATAAAATGAACATCAACTACCTATTAAATTATCCATATTAAAATGATGCATGTTTAGAGGTGTAGAGCTTAAAAGAAATTATAGATAATATCAGAAAAAATAATTGATGATAAAGTTGAGGACCACACAATACATTTGAAACCAGTTACGCGTAAGGAAATACTTCTTGAATCTAAAACTCTTTACAATTTTATGGTGCAGTTCGAAAAGACAATAGTAAGACTTTTGGATGCAATAAGAAAACTTTGAGATGAGTTTCCACTAGATTTAAATGTTAACAGAAAATAAAACACAATAAAATCATATTTTCACTAATTAAATTATCTTTGACATATTCATACTTTCAAATGGAAGGTATAAGTAATACATCCTATAATATCATGTAAGACGTATAACTTATCCATGGATTAGTTATAAATAAACCTAATTTCCTATTAAACGCGGCACAAAATAATATTGTATACAATACATGGACTATTTCTTTTAATACTCCTGATTATCAAACCATCTAAATTTAAATTAAAAGATGGTTAACATTGGCAAAATTAAATAAATCATCTAGATTTACACTTAAAAATTGTAAGTTATGGTTTTAATATGTATGTTTAATTTTATAAATTGTTTATAATGCAAATAATTAGTGATATATTTGTCTATTGACTAGTAAATGTTAAACAAATCACATTTAAAATTTGTATTAATTTGTTTTGAATATATTTCGTAATAAACAACTCTCTCTAAATAATCATAGAGCTAATTTATTTAATAAATTTACTAGTAAAATTATAAAACATAAAATCAAGAAAATGAACAAAATAATTAAAATGATTTGAGAGATATTTTTGTCTCGAAAGGTATTAGTTATCCTACAGTAACTTGTAGTATGTATAACTAATACATGGGTTAGTTTTACATAGGCTCAAATTCCTACAAATATAGTACTATTTAACCATACATAATACATGAACTATTTCTTTAGGCCAAATACATACGCAGGTCCCTAAAGTTGTTCGCGTTTTTCTCCCAGGTACCTCAACTAACCAAGATTCCTATTAAATCCTTTAACCCCAATAATTTGATCCTTTTAAATATTTTTGGCTGATGTGGAGCCAAATTTCAATAATTTTTTTTTGGTAATTAGGCGCGTGAGATGAACCTTCCCCACGTGGAAATTTTGACCAATACAGTCCAACCAAATTACACGTCAGTGCCACATATTATATCATCAAACCTAAAAATCAATTTTCCCCCAAATCACTTTTAACCCGTTTCTAAACGAGAAAACCCTAAGAATCTCTCATTTTCAATTACTTTTACAGCTGAAATTCTTACATTTTATAGTGATTTCGAGTGTTTTGTTGAAGGAATCATCGAAGATTGCAGACGATTTTGGAGTTCATTCGCGATTTTCGAGTCGACGAGTGTGAGGTAAGTGACGAGCATGTTGTTGTGGTTGTGTGTTTTTAATATATGTGTTTATCCTGTGTTTATTATTGATATATACTGGGTTTTAGTATCAATGTGGTTGTTGTTGTTAATATCTAGATAAAGTTAGGGTTTTTTGGTTTTTATTGTTCATAACTGTCAGAAAAATTTGGAGCCTTGTTTCAGGGAATCTTATGGACGCCATTATTATAACTCGTTTTCATCATGGTGGTAAGTTTATTCAGGACAAAACTGGAATTACTTATAAAGGGGAAGCCGAGGTGGAATATGTTAATATCGACAAGGACCACTTCTCAATAATCGAGTTACTTTTTTACACTAAACAATTGGGGTATATTACTGTTGGTGGGTTCTGTGTTAAAGACCCCACAAAAAATGGCTTTATTGAGGTGGACACTGATTTAACATTAGTAAATCTCATCAAAGACCTAAAAGATGGTGACTTTTTAGACATTTATGTAAAGCATGTGGTGGATGATTTAGAAGTGGTCACAACAGGTTTGCTTTGTGGGTCTGTCGTTGAAGAAGACTTAGAAGATATAAATGTGACTGCAAGTGAAGGGTTAAATCATGAGGCTGAATCTGAAAATGTTAATGTGGAAGTTGAGCCAGGAGATATATCAGATCTAGATGTGGAATGGACTGAATCAAATGAAGAAAGTAGTGATGACTCTCAAGAGGATGTTATTCCTGATGTGGATGACTCTGAGGTTGATGAAGAATTAAGATCTCTTAGAAATGAAAGGAGAAACAAAGTGAAAAAGAAAAAACCTACTCAAACTGAGGAAATAAAGCTTGGAACAGCTGGTGTTGATAGAGGCTTTGAAGACATAGGAAGGAATAAGGGTGCTAGATACACTGGAAGACTAGGGGGTGATGAGCAATATATAGATAGCTCAGAATTGGACAGTGAAGACAGTAGGGATGAATTGGATTCAGAATTTGTGAAGGGTGTTGATTTACCAAGAAGAAGAAAAAGTAAAAAGGTAAGATTTGATCCTGATTGTGTTGTAGCAATTTTTGAGCTTAGCATGGTGTTTGAAAGTGCTGAACAATTTAGAAAAGCTGTTGCAGACTATTCTTGTCAATATAAAACTAGGTTAAAATTGAAGCCTAATGACAAAAAAAGAGTTAGAGTTAAATGTGAGGACAAGAAATGTAAATGGTTGCTGTTTGCTAGTATAGATAAAGATTCTGGTGATTTTGTTGTCAAAAATTATTATCCTGTGCATGTATGTCCTCAATCGACCAAGAACAAGTTGTGTACATCTAAGTTTGTTGCAGAAAAGTTCAAGGATGAAATAACCTGTCAACCATATGTAAGATTATGGGAAATTCAGGAATTAGTGAGAAAAAAATTTGGGTTATATGTTGGAAGAACTGTTTGTCATAGGGCAAAAAGAGGATTATCAAGGAGTTCTTAGGTGATTGGAAGATGAAATTTTCAAGATTGTGTGATTATGCAGACATGATTAAACATACTAATCCTGGTACTTCCTGTTGGGTGAGGACAGATAGAGAGTCTCAGCCAGGAAAAACTTTGTTTGTTTACTTCTATGTTTGCTTTGATGCATTGAAGAGGGGGTGGTTGGAAGGATGCAGAAAAATTATTGGTTTTGATGGATGTTTTCTGAAGGGTTCTTGCAAGGGAGAATTGTTGGTTGCTGTTGGTAGAAATGGAAATCAACAGATGTTTCCAATCGCATGGGCTGTTGTTGACACAGAGACAAAACATAGTTGGAGTTTTTTTCTAAAGTACTTGATAGAAGATCTGAACTTAGGCACAGGACATGGACTGACTATTATGTCAGATATGCAGAAGGTTAGATAGTTTTTGCATTGTATCTTGTTCTATTATTTTTTTTCTTGTGTTGCTAATACTTTTTAATGTTTGTGCTACAACTGCTTACATAGGGCCTTGTACCAGCTTTATGTGAGTTGCTACCAGATAGTGAGCAGAGAAGGTGTGCTAGACATATCTGGTCCAACTGGCATCAATTATGGAGTGGTGAAGAAAGAAGGAAACAGTTCTGGAGATGTGCTAAGTCAAGTTTTGAAGTGAAATTTGAAGATGAGATGGATAAACTCAACAAATTAGGTAATAAAATTTGTGAGGACTTGTTGCATTATGAAAAAACTACTTGGTGCAAAGCATATTTTAAAGAGCATTCTAAGTGTGACATTGTTGAAAACAATATGTGTGAAACTTTTAATTCTTGGATACTAGTTGCTAGACATAAGGCTATCATAACTATGCTAGAGTAGATTAGGCACAAGATAATGGACAGAAATATTGCAATGAGGCAATTTGCTGAAACTTGGATCTCAGATATCTCTCCTATGGCTAGACTAGTACTAGAAGAGAACAAAGATCTTGCTAGATTTTGTGAAGTTAGATTCAATGGTGATATTGGGTATGAAATCTTAGATGGTCAATACAGACATATTGTTGATATAAGAAAGAAGACATGTACATGTAGAACATGGCAATTGAGGGGCATACCATGTCAACATGCTGTGCTTGCATATCAGCACAAAGGCATAGAACCTGAACATGAAGTGGTACATTGGTATAGGAAAGAGACTTCTTTGAAGGCTTATAATCATTTTCTACAGCCAATACCAAACATGAAAATGTGGCCTCACACTAGTGGTGTAGTGATTGAACCTCCTGAACCAAAAGTCATGCCTGATAGGCCACCAAAGTGCAGAAGAAAGGCAAAGAATGAGCCTAGAAAAAAGTATGGAAAGTTATCCAAAAGAGGAGTAAAAATGACATGTTCACTGTGTCATCAAGTAGGCCACAACAAAAAATCTTGTCCAACATTGGTAAGTTATTATTCTCTTCTAATATATTTACAATAAGTTTCAATTATTTACAATAATCAATTATTATTACTGTATTAATAGGCTGAAATGGGACAAACTGGAGGCTACCCAAACAGGAAACCAAGCTCAAGCCAACCATCACTGTCTAGCCAACCATCAAGCTCAAGCCAGCCACCACTTTTTAGCCAACCATCAAGCTCAAGTCAGCCACCACTTTTTAGTAGACCATCAAGCTCAAGTCAGCCACCAGTATTCAATCATCAAGGTAGTTCTATGTGTTTTGATTCTTCAGCTGTTAGAACAGAGCAACAACCTGCTAAAAGCAGAGGCACATGCAGAGGTAGAGGCACTGGGAGAGGCACTGGGAGAGGTACTGACAGAGGAACTGGTAGAGGCACTGGGAGAGGTACTGGCACTGCCAGTGAAATTGGAAGAGGCAGTGTTTTCAACATTGGAGGTGTATCAAGTCAGCAACCTGATCAACCAAGGGCTGTGGAAGCTTCAATATCAACAGGAAGACAAAAAAGGACCAAGACTATAGGATTTGGCATCTATACAAATGCAAGTGGTAGTCAAACCTTTAATGTAAGTGTATACATAATTTTGTTCATTTCTTACTCTACTATATAAAGTCTCATTTGAAGATATTTCCATGCAGCCTGGTACTTCAGGAGAAAAAGTTATCAATTCGAGAGTTTATAAGGATGCATCTCCAACAAATATTGATATTGGTTATAAGCCTCGAGGACTCAAGTGGAATGGTGGAGATGCTGTCACTGGTTCACAGTTGCAACGTATCACTCAGTCAAGGAAAAACAAGCGTGGAACATCTAGTGCACCAAAGAATGCCTAATTTATGTATTTATGTAGACTAGTCACTTTTTGGTTGTGTAATTAGCAGCAGAAATTTGTATTGACTGCTTTAAAACTTGGAGCTCACTAGAGCAAATTAATGGCATGAATGATCAATTTTAACTGCTTTTGAGACACAAATTATCTTCATTCCTTCAATTAGATCATTACAATAAAAACACAAGGCATTTACAGTAGAAAAATCGATCTAAATTGTCCATAAAGAACACTAGAATCTACCATACATACTTTTATGAAGGAATCTAATAGAAGACAAATGAATCAACTAAGATTCCTCTCCAATTCATATGTTTTGACTCTTTTCAACAAACCCCATATCACCCTCCTAGCTTGAGCAGGCATTTCATCATCATACCATCGAAAATATCCACATCCACCTCGTGCCTACAAAATTAAAGAAAAAAATTGAATTATAAATAAGGTGATTCTTTACTATATTGGACAAAAAAATGAATTTGATTTACCTTTGAAGTTTTGCAACAAAGGAACCTACGTCCAGGATTGGATTGCGTCCATGAGGTCTTCATTTCCACAACAATCCCACATTGACATAGTACTTTCGCAGTTGAAGAAGAAGAAATCGATGAAGAAGATAAATTCGACATTGGAACTTAATGATTAAGAAGAAATCAATGAAAAAGAGATATAAAAGGAGAAATAATGATGAAGAGAAACAAAAGAGGAGAAATAAGGGATAAAGAGAAACAAAAGAGGAGAAATAATGGAAGAATGGGAGAAATTAGGGTTAAAAGGGGGAAGAAGATCGTTGGTGGGTGGTTGAAGATCCACATCAGCACTTTTAAAGCGTCTGCACGCGCTTACAGGACGTGAGATCACGTTTGGCTCCACATCAGCCAAAAATATTTAAAAGGATCAAATTATTGGGGTTAAAGGATTTAATAGGAATCTTGGTTAGTTGAGGTACCTGGGAGAAAAGCACGAACAACTTTAGGGACCTGCGTATGTATTTGGCCATTTCTTTAATACAACCTATCAAACGACCCCTTACATAATTATGAATTTATGATATTAATAAGATCATAATTTATGGAGGGATCTCTGAGAATATATTATCCTATCAAAATGTATGATTTTTTCTACTGGCCTAAATTGATATCATAAAAAAAAATTACTAAATTATTAAGTATTAATTTAGTTAGATTTTAATGTACTTAGTTTGCAATGTGAGCTCTACCCTTTCTGGTTTGCTTTATTGATATCTAAAGAAAAGAATTCGAGAGCGGGTGTGCAAAAATCATCGATAAAAGTGCTATTAGTTTATTGACATAAGGTTATTGGAATAACGATAATTTAACGATTTTATAAAAAATTATCGAGTTATCAATTTGATATTAATTTTTAATATTGGATTATTCGATAAATCGAAAACCCATTAAGAGCTGAGTTTATAGTATTCTATTACTTTTACATATACATACATATTCGTAAATGTTAATCTCAATATCATAATAGTTATATTTTTGTTATTTAGCCATCAATTCATATTTCGCTATAGTAAGAATCGTATTTTTCTTTGTGTTACGTATTAAATTAATGGTTTTCCTGTTTAATTTATTTCCCTTATCCACTGGATGTGAAAGTTGAATTGTTTTCTAGCACACCAGAAAATAGTGTCTTTTAGCTCCGTTGTAGGATATTATTTATATATTATAGACTTTCTGTTACACCAACATTAAGCAATGAATATAAATTTAGTTGTTTTCTCAATCTTTTAACATTTTTTTCTTAGGGATTTTACAAAGTCAATGTGTTTAATATTCTTCATATTGAATTTATTTTAATACAATAAAATTAGGGGTCGTTCAAATAATTTATTTCAGAAAATCGATAATCAATAATAAAATAAGTTATCTCTCCTCTTGGATAATATAATATTTAGAGATAATTTATCTAAAATAAAATAGGTGAATGACAAAGATATTTATCTAATTGAATTATTTTAATATATCACTTTTCACATTCATGATGGTATCTTTATAATATAAACAAATAACAATTTTAAAATTTATACAATGCATATTATTTTAAATGCAACACATTCAACTAAAAATAATCTTAATATTTAATCCTATTAACTAATTCTATTAATTGATTTCAATATAACTTATTTCATTATAATCTGTATATAAACTAAACCACCCAAATTTTACATCATCCGTTTACTTTCACAAGAGGGTATTGTTAAAAATTCATTTGGTTAGTCAATGTTATTCAGTACTTTAATAAATTAATTAATTATATTATCGAACTGTGAGCGGGAGATTCAGCCAATAAAATAAAATTTTATAACTTTGCTTTGTGCTGGCGAAAATGATATTAAGTTGCCCTAATTAGATTTTTGTAGCAGTTTATTTTTATTGTTTGTTTATTATAAGAAAAAACACGCGGAGAATATTGAACCATGTGACATAAAATGGAATCTTATTCTAGTCCCACTCCCATTCCCACCCACTATTTTTGACTTCATAGCAACAAAAAGAAAAAAAAAATGAATTGAAAGAATAAAAAGAGTATATGGTTTCATTTTTGAGATGAAGAGTAAACTATAGATGCACATTTGTGATATTGACTTACAAATTAGATTAATATTTTCCTTTTCGCTCGGGAGTAAATATCTTAAAAGGTCACTCAATTATATAAAATTGTTCAGTAAAATTATTCAATTGTATTTTATATCACTAAAATCACTTAACTTAATATTTTTATCTTCTAAAATCATTAAACTACATTTGTTATAAAATCAAATTTGATATGGCAAGTTAAATACTAACTTTTTATGCCATGTATATAAACCCCACAAAATAAATAAAATTTAAAATCTCCCATATTATTTTTTATTTTACAATTTTATTTTTAAAAAAAATTGAATCTGCAGCATTTCTGCGCCTTCTCTCGTTGAGATGTTATTTCTAACACATTTTGAGTAATTTTAAATTTCTTCCAACAATTCCCGTTTACTTAAAATATAATTAACACTAAAAAACTAGAAAGCAAGTGTAATTGAGACTCACCAAACAGGAAAAATCCACAAAGAAATAACTAATCTAAAAGTCACCGTATTTTACATTATTTTATATTTTGCGATATTTTTTTTATTAAAAAAAGGGGTCAAAATCTGCACCATTTGCGGTTTGTTTTTTCTTTTCTTTTTTTTTAAGAAAAAAAAATATTTATTCGTGTGGTCTATGTTTATACGAAATAAACAATAATTTATTTTATTATGATAAATTTATTTTAACAATAAATGCAGTTGAGTGATTTTTAAAGATAAAAATGTTAAATTGAGTGATTTTAAATGATAAAAATGTTAAATTGAGTGATTTTATTAAAACAAAACAGAGTTTAATGTCATTTTTAGTAAAATTTTCATAGCTCAATGTCCTTTATTAACTCCATTGTATTCTTTTTGAAATTGAATTCCATGTATACAATTAATTTAGATTCTTACTACGCATAATTTATTTTAAAAGAAAATAATTCTTTTGTTAAATTTTTCTCTATATTAAGGATCAACTTTAAATTTTTTAGTGGAAGAGAGGTAGAGATCTGTCTCACTATACTTTATTATCCTCTATGATAAAAATAAACTCAACAATCATAAAATCGATAATCACTCTCTAATCTAATGAATTCATTTACTAGACTTAATTTCGTTTCTCTTAGGGTCTCTCCCTATATATAATAAAAAAATAAAAATATATATAAAACAAGTGTAAGTCGAACGAAATCAATATAACAAATAAATAAGAATAATTGTACCTCAATCCTAAATATGTTCATATTGGCTTATATAAATTTCACCTAACATATTTCTATATTCAAATTTAATTTGTGTCATCATCTAAAAACTAAAGGATGGTTAAATATATAATATTTACTAATCATAATTAGGCCCCTAATCATAATTCTAAAGGTTTTCTATAAATATAAATTAAAAAAATAAGACATAGATTCGTATTTACGTGGGATTTGTTCCAAAAACAAGTGAAAATATTTTATTTTTTCGTTTTAAAAAATACTTTCAGTTTTTTTTTATGATGTAGAAATTGAAAGAGCAATGAAGACAAAATGTAGGAAAATTTCTGAGTGAATTTTATTGAAGGAATAACTATTTATGCTAATATAAAATGACAGAAAATGTAAAATAATCTAGAGAGTTAACAAACTTTTTACAAACTTTGCACGCCTATACAAATTATAGAAGAAGCATCTAAGAAGAGAATCTTATGCTACGTATAAAAGATGATGAAATGTAATGGGTTAAGAGTGAATGTGCTTTCTTGATTGATAATTTTGATCTAAAACATTGGATCGAATTTCACTTAAGGAATAACTACTGCGATTTGTTCCTCTTCATTCTTTTAGACTAGAACTGAGGGACTGCGACCTCGACTTGGTTTTCATGACTGCGGCCTGTGCCTGATTTTAAACATCATTTTGACAGATAAAATGCTATCAAGGAAAAGTTTTTGCGGTTACAATAACTATTCTAGTCTATATACTTTTAAATTTACACACCTATTATGAAAAATAATTATTGATATGGTGAGTTTATCATTCTACCCATATTAATTATGAAGTGAATGAATAAAAAATTTAAAATTTTCAAAAAGTTATATTATTTTCAAAGGGGTAAAACTTACCTACATCGGGTGTTACACCAATCCAATACATGCATGTCATGTCTTTAAACTTATATTTATTTAACTTTAATTAATTAACATTGTATTTTACTTCATTAAGTCACATAATAATAATGAAAATTGAATTAGTTTGATGTAAACACCCGATACAGATAATTTTTTTTCTTTCAAAATAATTAATTAAGGACATATACTAAGTAATTTTTCTTAATTTAGCAATAACTATAAAAGAAAAAATGAAGCTATCGTATATTTTTTTTTCTGTAACACTTATTTTTTATATATAAAATAAAAGAATTAAGCAAGAAAAGAACTTCATTATAATCTAATTAGACCTACATTATGCATGTAATTACTTTATTGCACTAAAATAATTAAAGTATTATCTTTTTTTTTAAAAAAAAAGTAATTACTCAATCTATTCTACATATTATGAAGATCATTAACTATTT